ATAATCAACTGACCAAAAAACAAATCACATAAAATACCTGTTAAATTAAAAGCGATGCGCTTAAAAAAAGTATTTTACACATATTATTTTTAGTTATTTATTAATTTGGTATTTTGATTTTTGATTGTTTAGATTAACGATTTGTTATAAACAGAGTCAAAACAAAGAAATTTCAGGTATTCGGGAAATCTATGTCCGGTGCAATCGTTATCACCTTACACGGGTATTCACACTTTACATCATAGATTATGTAATATACCTGGCGATACTCAACTTTGAAAGTTCAGTAAGGGCCATACTGGACCCAGAATATTAAGTCCTTTGCTTTTAAAATGACAAATATTTAAATTTGACGAAAGGACACGTTAGAAAGTAAAACATTACCATTTGTTAACAACTTTTTTTATGAAGCGTTAAAATTTACAATCCAAAAGGCCTCAGGTAGAGATGTTAATATACATTTGCTTGTGTTTGCTCATGCATACATTTTCCACTATATTGTTATATCTTAAATACAGTTGTTAATATTTGATGTATACCTTGTACATGTAATATGGAGTTTTAATAGGCTGTGTCTGTTGCTTACTCTTTTTCCTATCTTTATAATTACATTACATGAATGTTTCATTACAATACGTTATTTTGATTGGCTGACAGCAATCTCGCGTCGTTCTGAAATTAACATTCATATCAAAATAAATTGTAACCATCATTATGACATGAGGTTCCACAATAAAGTGCACGGGTAAAGAAAAGAAAAACTTGATATAGAAATCATGTTTTCATGATCCGAGATAAACAAATGTAATTATAAGTATTAAATGTTTCTTTTAGTAATTTTATAGGGTTGTAATAGCGTTGACCGTGCGCACATTTATAGAATGAAGCGCTTCCGCGCTTCATACAAAATGTACTTCGGTCAACGATTTTACACCGCAATAAATTTACAAAAAGAAGCATTCAATTCTTAAAGGAATAAGATATGTTTAAAATCAAGTAAAGATTTTGTTGAAATTTGACAAAAACGTAAGGATTTAATTTTCAAGAGTCGGATATGTAAATTTTATAGCTAACAAAACGTTAAAAGATCTTTAATTTCTGTCGACGAATGCGCTCTTTGCGCTAGTGTCAAAGATTATTTAGGTCTCCAAATTCTTAAACATACAATCTTTTGTATCGACTTAAAGTTCCTTCGTTTTGCGTTTTGAGCTCTTACTCAGAAATTATTATCATATTATTATCATAACTATCAAAATATTCCAAATATGCCAAACTGCTTGCAAGCTCTTTTCTTGCCGTAATTGTCATTTTTTTAGAAGAACTTCGTATGAACCGAATGAAATAGACTTGACATTTAATTAGTTTGTACTTTTTATCTGTCCGAAATAATCATGCTATAAATTGAAATTGTATCGTGTTTCTTAGATTTGTAACATACTTGTCATGTTTTATTATACTTATCTATTCAAATTTTGTGAGTTTGTAAACTTAGAATTTATGTTCACCAAGTTTTAATGGTTAAACAGCAATATGTGCAATAAAAAATAAATTAGAGTGTTAAAAAAAAGAATTTATGCTTATATAATAAAATTGTGAAACGGGAATTTATAACTCAAAATTAGGGAGTATTTCTCAGTAACCAATAACAAATAATACAGAATCTAAATTCGCTACATCCTATAATAAAAACCAGGAAAAAAACAGTTATGCGTGAAATTAATACTTTACTACAATATATTTTAGAGTTGAAGCCAATAATGGCCTCGGCAACTTTCAAGGAAGCATGTTTATAATATCCAAAGCAACCGTCATTTTACAAATGTTTGAAAACACGGAAGTCTTTTCTCAAGAAATTATGTCATGTTTTCCAAATTTGAAAATATACACACCGGAGAAAACAATTAGTTATACTCAGTCATCATGTGCATACAATTCACCTGCATTGCGTAAATCAATGGCTATCCTAATGCAAGTTAAACAACACTACTTTTTTTTTATTCTGTGTCATTCATTTGCAAGGATGTTATGAAAAAAGTAAAACATCAAAAATACCGAACTGCATGAAAAATTCAAAACAGAAAGTACCTTAACAATGGCAAAATCAAAAGCTCAAACACATCAAAACGAATGTAAAACAACTGTCATATTCCTGACTTGGTATAGACATTTTCTTATGCAGAAATTGGTGGATTTAAAATGGTTTTATAGCTATCTAAACCTCTTAGCATGACAGTCGCATGTATAAAACCATCAATGCGATGCAATAGAACAATTCTATTGTTTTGCTATAAGGAATACATAAATCATCTTTCGTTCCGAACCCTGCAAGCTGGTTTTCTCCTCCTGTTTTGTAGTTTGATGAAACAGATAAACTACCTGTGTCCAATCATTTCCTATCTTATTTTAAAAAAGATAACGAAGAGTACCACATAAAAATCATTGTATCAATCAATTTGTATATTTTTTTGTCAAAATTTTTTAGCATAAGCACGAAATTTAGATTTTCCATACTAATCTTCATTCCATGTTTAGCATAGGCCAAATTTCAGTCCTCAATTTCAGGGCTTATTATGAAAGCACTGATGACGACAAGATATTAAACACTCTACATATTAAATATTCAAAATCCATCGCTGTAAAATTGCTTTTTTGTTTGCCTGTATTCATCTTTCAAAACGTTGAATGATGTTCCTTGGGGGATTCATTTCGAAAAAGTAGAAAATATATTATTAGATATATCTAGCATAATAGAAGATAGAAACTATAAAAATGATGCATTATTGAAAAGTTTACACCAAAAACACTTCTTTTTATCTACATATTGACCTTTTCCATAAAATGTGCAAACACGATCAGAGATTTCAAATTTTAGATAGGTATTTCAGAAAAGAATATTTATCGCGACATGCATTCTTGTGTTTATTTTAATCAATAATTGCAAAAAGTAAGAGCAAATATATACAAAAAACAAGAGTTCTTTTAAGTCAATATCGGTTATAAAGGATTTAAAAAATGATGTTTCGTAACATTACCTATGTTCTTATCGTTGTGACTCAGCTCGTTTCCCAAACAGAATGGGCCTCGGCGATTTATTGTTGTATTCTGGTTCCATTCTATATTTAAAATCAAATTTACTTATGAACTGCTTTAACATTGTTTTTGTATTACAGTATTTTTTTTTTTGCCATTCATTCCTGTGCAATTTGTACTGTTATAATATATGTCCATATTTTAAAAACGTGACTGATCTAAATAGACAATATAAACCAATAACCAATCACAAATGATCTGGATTTACCCAAGAAACCTCCTAGATGTGAAACAGCTAGAAATTACTTTTCTGTTTATGTAATATTCAAATCAAGTCTGAAAAAATAAGCATAAAAATGCCAAAACAAACCCCGAAAATAATTCAAATAAAAAAAAATGCAATTGTATCTTAAGTCAAATCATTAAACAGGGACGCAAAGAAAATAAAAATGATAAAAACAGATAAATTTTTAAATATAATTGGTAATGAGAGATTTAAGAAATAAACGTGATACCGTTCAAATAAGTTTGGTTCTATACATTTATATAATGATAACGCTTGATATGAATTACTATTTAAACAACAATATTTGAATGTTTCTGTTGTCGACTTGTGTTTATAGAATTCATTCTGTCGTTGATTGCCGAAAACCAACCCATTCGTTTGATATCCCTCCCTGTATTTATACTTTTAAAAGAGGGACGAAAGATACCAGAGGGAGAGTCAAACTCATAGATCGAAAACAAACTGACAACGCCATGGCCAAAAATAAAAAGACAAACAGACAAATAATAGTACAGATGACACAACATAGAAAACTAAAGACAAAGCAACACGAATCCCACCAAAAACTGGGGGTGATCTCAGGTGCTCCGGAAGGGTAAGCAGATCCCTCTCCACATGTGGCACCCGTCGTGTTGCTTATGTTATTACAATAAATAGTCTAATTCGGTAAGTCACATTCGTGAAAAGGGAAGGGTATTGTAGTTACTCGTGATGGCGTCCGTAAAATTTACGAAGGGATGATTTCAACTTCGCCATTTGGAACTCTTGGTTTAATAGCTTCCTTGTGAGCAGCAATTCACTATCAAGGAAATCATGATAGGAAACACAAGCCCGGGAAAATCGTATCAATTGGGAGATATATACTCCGTATGCAGGCGCTGCTGGAATGTTGCTACATAGAAATGGAAAGTTCACAATTGGGAAGCTGAAATCATCTCTTTTGTCGTAAAGTTTTGTTTTCAACCGACCCTCATTGTCAAATTCTAGATGTAAGTCAAGATATGAGGCAGACTTTACTGTATCTGTAGTATCCTTTATCTCTTGTTCGATGGGATCGATTCGTTCAACATAGTCACCAAATTTTGTATTATTTAGTGAGAGAACATCAAATTAGATTTAGTTTTATTTTCCGTTGAAGTATTATTTTTAGCCTTTCTTCTCTATTTTTTTTTTTGTTGCTGTTGTTAAACGTTGTTATCATAATGAAATGTGAAATACTTTATTTTATTCGTATTTGAAACCATCAATGCGCGAAAAATATTATTGCCGACTTTTTGAAATATTGAGTGTCTTGAATTTGAACAATTATGAGTTTTTTTTAAAGTAATAATAATATGATCAACATGAAATTATTAAATGTTAAACAATCACAAAAAACTCACCATATTCCTCTAAATTTCTTTAATCCAAAAGTACTAAACAGTTTCTTTTGCTGCAATAGAAATGAAACTTTCATTATCAAATATTTAAACATTAAAACTACACAGATATAAGAATTATTTAAGAAATATATTTCAAAAATATACTTACAAAGACGTGTTTATCACAGATTTTTTACTTTAACGTGTACATTTGCATGTAAAAGATTTCTATGGTTAGGATTGCGCATGACATAATCAATGTAATCCATGATAATTTTCCAATGATATTGGATAGCCAATAAGGAAGTTCTTTGTTTCTAATTTACGAAATCATTACTCATACATACTTAAGTCTTCATCGGACGTACGAATGCTGACAAAGAGGTAAGATTGATAATTATTCATATAAGTTTTAAAGCAGGAGAGAAATAATAAAACATACATTTTTCATGAAAAACTGCGTTTACAATTAAGACTTTCTTACGTTGACTAATAAGTATATTATATATATTTGTTTTTCATTGGTATTTCACTTATTTTATTTTATGTATTTTCAGTACTATGGAAATGTCATGTTCCCTAACGCAATGTTTGAAATATACGTATCAGAATTCATTATCAATATATTTAGTCATTTTTTTTTAAGTACCATTTTAAGAATTTTAACATAAAAGTTAAAAGTTTATAAAAAAATAGAATGAACATGAGAAACAAAATATTTGACAACGTGTATTTAACTTCAAAACGTATTAAAATTTATAATATTTGCATACAAACTTTTATCAAATATTGTTTTCAATCGACTATTATTACTATGCAAACATACTTACTGGTATGTGTTTGACTTTGAAAAAAACTTTGCAGGCTAATGTGTAAGTTGCCGAACGTTTTGCAACAAACCCATAATCCAATCCTTATTTCAATCATTTATAGTATATATCATTTTTATATGCTTGATACACACAAATAGATTCGAAGTGCAAAACATCTGAACATATATATGATACGAAGAAGCAGTTTAAAAATCGTATAAACAATTTTTATTTTCAGTATTGATATGATTATAATTATTCATACATGTATTGTTATAATCATTATTGTCATTGGTTTTTTATTATTATTATAATTATTATTATTATTGTTATTATTATTATTATTATTATTAATTCATTTTAATTATTAATATCATTATTTTATTTTCATTATTAATATTATCATTACTACTATTACTATTACTTATTTATTACTACTATTCTTACTATCATTATTATTATTATATTATTACTATTGTTATTATTATTATTATTATTATTATTATTATTATTATTATTATTACTATTTTTATTGATTTCGTTAAAGACGAATTGTTTGACTTTTAACTCTCAGATATATATTTACTGAACGAAAATGAACTCGTTTGACATTTAAATTGAGAGAATTGAAATTGATAGAGATACGTCAAAAGGTCAAACTGGCATTCCAATTGAAAATATCACGTTATGAATTTGATTCAGTGGTATTGCATTTTTGGATTCACTTTCAACAGAACCGACCAAACAAAAACAAAGAATGATAGCCGAGGATATTTTCAAATTTTGGATACTCGAAAAACAGAATTACTCTTTATCATCTATGTTGTGTTTTGTTTACTGTTATTTGTCTTTTGTATTTTGTATTTTTTTTTGTTTTTTTTTGTTTTTGCAATGGCGTAGTTTATTTGTTTTCGACTTCCGTGTTTGAATGCAATTCCTTTACTAATAGGAACCTTAAAATTTAGTCAAAATTATCGAGGGCTGAACTTTTTATGAAGAAGTAAAAACCAGAATTTCACAATAACTTCTTAATTTATCGACCGACAATTTAAAAAGGTTAGTTATTGTTAACAATCATGTTGGTACCGAAGTAATGCCAACTTAGTTGATGTTTCAATCGGTGGCAATCGTTCCTAATTTGTAAAACAAAAACATTCTCCTAGCATCAAATGTGAATGTATCATATTGATAGAAAATGAAGTATATTATTATTTATATAATCAATGTTTAATATAGATTCAGACGTTTTGTCTTCACTTTTTTATATTGAAATTGGCGAATCATATTAAACATGAGACAAGGAAGCGCTTCTTGCTTATTACTTGATTCGTCACTTTGTTTCATTTTTGAAAAAATAAAATAAATTATTACATTGGTCACGATGAATTACCGAGATTTCCCAGTGAAATGAAAACCGGGAATTGCATTCCTCAGTCAGAGGAATGTCAAAGATCAAATATATGCATTCAGTGTTTTATTCAATACTAGTTTCTGTTTTAATGTCTTTTTGATCGAGTTACAATGTTAGCTATTTCCATTTTAATGTGATAGTGTGTTTTTTTCTGTTGTAATGTTACACTGGTTTATATAATTAGCTATCTATAAAATCAGGTTTATCCACCATTTTCTACATAAGAAAATGCATATACCAAGTCAGGAATATGACATATATTATTCATTCATTTGATGTGTTTGAGCTTTTGATTGTGCCATTTCCTTATGGACTCTTCGTTAAGAATTTTCCACGAAATTCTGTATTTTTTTTATTTTACTTTCTACTGTCTCAGGTTAGGACGAAGGTTGGCGCCTGTTAAAATGTTTTAAACCGCTGAATTTTAATGCACCTGTTCAAAATCAGGAGCCTGTTGTTCAATGTTTGTCAATTGTTGATGTGGCTCATAAGTGTTTCTTGTGTCTCGTTTGTTATAGCTTGTTGTTCTGTGTGAGCGAAGACTCTGGGTTGGAGGCCGTACTTTGACCTATAGTTGTTAACTTTTTATACATTGTGACTTGAATGAAGAGTTGTCTCATTGGCACTCATACCACATTTTCTTAATTATAATTAAAATTTTAACACTTTCATCAATCATCAACTGCAAGAAAGAGACATGTGGTGCTATTCTGTTTCACATGTGTCTTCATTTCTTTTACAGAATGTGTTTGCAATGGTTAATAAAGAAATCACAAGCATGTTTTAACTGCTTGTGTTTTCTTTTCAGAAGTTGTTATAACTGGTTCTGTGGTAATTACAACTCAGTAAACGGCGATATGGATTTACAGAAACACTGCGAAAAGGTCAACGTAGCTATAATACGGGATTCAATGAAGAATATTCATAGGAGGTATATGTTGCAAGTCGTTGATGCAACCTGTGCTATCATCCATCAGATTGATTGTAACCATAGTTACCTACTTAGCAATCTTACACTCAACGTGTATTATAAAACGAAGTTCTACCAGTTCAGAAGTGGTACCGGAGAACACATCGTCATTGTTAATTATGCAAACAAAACAATTTCTTGCAACTGTATTAACTGTCCATCTGAAGTCAAAAGCATTGTAAAAAACACATATAGCATTTAAAAGGATTCTTATAATCTACGAGGAAACACTTTAATGTTTATGTACGTCAACAAAACAGTTTAGGTTTCTTTAAAAACAAATGCTGCTGAATGGGTAATACATAGTTTATATGAATAAATTTTCAATTGAATAAAAGTTTTTGTTTTTTAATAATGAGTAACTGATTGATAGCAGCAACTTTGGTTTCATCACTTGCAATGTATATATATGTGCTATAATAAATTATTCAACAGAAAAAATATTGAATATTATTACATTATTTCGTTCTACAAATCACAGTTCTTTATTCTTTTCCAAGGCCAAAATAATTTCTATCGATTATCGTGTAATGTTTTAATGTCGGCAAGAGAGGTAACAAAACATATTAAAGAACATTTTCCAGACATGAGAACGTTGTCAATATTCATCAAAACTACTTAAACAAACAGTAGTTTACTCTTCGTGATGTCTCTATTAAGGACAAGATGACATTTATACAAAATCCGTCAGGTATTCGTCACAGTCACATGACACTTTATTCATTTACCCTTTCAAAACTTCATGTTCCGTAGAACTTATGTTTAGAAACCACTGTTAAAAACCCCAATTCAAACCAATATAAACTTACAGGTATTATTTCGGACAATGCCAGTCACTTACTTTTCAAACCATTTTGCATTTAATCTTTGCCAAAGAAGATCCCGATGCCATCAACAGGGGCAATATCCTTCATCATAAATCATTTTACTCGAGAGAAAAAAAAGCCTCCCTATCATTTTTTACACATGCACGAAACCAATTGCAACTAACATTTTCAATTACAAAAAAAGGGATCTCTATATTGACGACTTCAAGTCAAAACCTCATAGTTGCATATGTGCTAGTTCCCCATTAATATGTAATCCGACTGGCAACGCTAGTACTTGTTACCTTTACATTGGCAGTAACTCTTCTCTGCGAAATGGGGCCACTACTGTAATCACTAGCCAGTCAACACTGAGTCGAACCCCGATCGTACAGGTGCACTCGACTCCAATTTTAATTGACTAGGATTGTCAGTTTTCCTATCGAGGGTCGTTGGTTTTTCCCGGCACTCCGGCTTTCTCCACCAATAAAAACTGGCCGCGACGAAATAGCCCGGAAGTGGCGCTGAAAGTGGCGTTAAAACACCAACAATCAATCAATCAATCTCTGCGAAATGTGTTATCCAAAATATCCAAATGTTCGAAATATTGTTAGCCTAAATCCATCAATTTGAAACACAACTTCATAATACCGATTGATTCAGTCGCTGATTATGCCAGGCAGTTCGTTAAACGCAATACAGAAGACATAGATACTCTTTCCGAATGGATTAAGGCCCTGATATTGTTGATCCAACACAGAATTAAACAACGGAATGGGTCTATGAATAATCATTCTACATCAATCTTTAAATAACCGATTGTTGCAAAATACCTGTCCTACCTCCATAAAAAATACTGTGTTGTTCTTTCAGAAAACAAAACGAAAAACCCAAAACAACACGAAATCCTGGATCATCATAGGTCTGTTCTAATAATTTTTGTGATTTAAAACAAAGATGAAAAACTGGCTATTTCCGTCACTGATACATAAACTACATAAGTGTCCTTACAAACAATGGTTTATTGCTGGGTCATCCAAGTGTTCTACGCCACCTCTTTCTAAAATATGACCACCAAATTGTATCAGCAATCAAAGCTAGGCTTCACAATTATTGTAAAACTACCTATTTTTAGAGGTGGCGTGAATCAGATATGGATACCCAAATTCAAGAGATCTTTCAGAGTCCATACAATCTAAGACTTCTTTACCTTGCAATAGTATTAAAACATTTAATTTTTCTGCATTTACATAAGAATCCCTTGTTCTAAACTAAAAAAAAAACAAATTGACAGAGTTGGTTCTGCTTTGTTTCATGGAAACGAATGGATAACGTAGATACAAGTGTCTTGTCTTTGGGAGGAATACATCGTACTTTGTAAAAAAAATCACCCTGATTCAAACATACAATTCTCTGAACTTACATTATCAAGATTGTTAATTTTTTGGTTGACAACTTATTTGCAGCGTTTGAAGGATGTTTTTTTTTTAAAAACAATTGGCATTTCCATTAGAACCAACGGTAATCCTACCTTTGCCGACTTTGTTGCTTTATTCATATGAGTTTGTTAGCAGTATCATTTAACTTTAATTTCCGCTGTAAAGATAATGATCTATCACTAAATAATTCAAAGTTTTGTGTCTATGTTGAACACATCTATCCAATCGTTCGTCAGAAAAATGATACAACAGATACCGATAAGTCTGCCTCAGACATTGACTTAAATCTAGAAATTCGTAATGAGGTTGGGTTTGCAAAAAAATAACCTATGCGGTATGGACTTTGCTCATTGTTGAAGGCCCTTTGTTGACCCGTAGTTGTAAATGTCTGTGTCATGTAGTCTCTTGTGAATAAGTGTCTCATTGGCAATCATACCACATCTTCCTTTTTATACTTTCGACCAAAAAGATGATTACAGAATCAAAATTGTAAACTTTCCATTTATATGTAGCAATATCCAGCAGAGCCTGCCTACGGACTATAATCTCGCAGTCGAAACGATATTCAAGGGCTTGTATTATGATGTCCTTGATAGAAGAATTCTGTTAATAAGGAATGAAGCTATTGAACCAAGAGTTCTAGGTGGTGAAATGAAATTATCCTTTCATACATTTAACGGAGTTAGTTGACCGTTTCACAGATGACGACATGTATGTTTCAATCGTCGTAACTACACGTGCCACATGTGGAGTAGGATCAGCCTACCCTTCCGGAGCACCAGAAATCGTCAGCAGTTTTTGTGGGTTTGTGTTGTCCAGTCGTTAGTTTTCTATGTTGTGTTTTGTGAACTGTTAGTTTCTACTACTAGTTTCTGTGAACTGGTACTGAAATAATTTGCAAAATACTTAGTAAAATCTCACCTTATGCGGTATACTCGTATAAAAAGGATAAATATTTTGATTGATTATTTGATAGATTGCTTGTTGGTTAATGTCACTTTCATCACTATTATGCGTAGAAAATAATCTGAAATCCACATATAGTGATAGGGCTTATCTTTTGTTTTTGATAATATCAAAGATTCCATTGAAATATGGAAAGGATTATAATCAAATTAACTTTTATTGAAAGACTTCTTACGTTTTCGTGCTTTTTAGCACTCATTACTCGAATTTTAAAACCTGATTTAATAGCTATCTGAACCTGCCACTTGTATTACAGTTGTATAAATGCAAGCCTTGGATATATATATATCATATAGGCTTTATTTGATATGTATTCAACCATTTAAGACAATTGATGATATTGTGTTTTAAGTATTTAAATTCTTACACTGGGTATTGTGTCAACGATGATAAACATTAACACATCTTCTTATATCTATAAACGTCCATACACATCCACGCGCTATTTTAATTTCTTCATGTTGTGGTTGTGTTGATGTTTTTTAATTTTTGTTTAGTGTTTTGTGAACCTGTTTACATTTGATGATTGTTACGTTAGGCACTTATATTTTCAACTAAAGGTCATTGATTGTCCGCCTATAAATAAGAGGCGAAAAATACCACAGGAATCGTCTTTATATTATCTTCTTGCTAATGATAATACATGATGAGAACCGTACTAACTGTTGTGAAAGTACTAAAAATGACGAATTGAATTGAAATTCGTTTGTACATGTTCCTAGATGCTGTGCGGGGGCAAAAATAGATCGAGCATACAAAATGTTTAATAAAAATAATGCAACGATTCCTGTTGGTATCTGTATGCCAGACATTCGAAAAGTCTACATAAAACTCAGTGGTGCCCGATCTAAACAGTTTGACATCATGATCATTCAGCTGCAGATCTATCAAATCTAAAAGTTTTTAAATGTGTGCCAGGCTGTAAAGTGATAAGCTAGACGAGCGTTTATGCTACATCGACTCACCTCAATCGCACTCGAATTAGTTGACAGCCAAATCAAATTGAAACGTTATAAAATTAAAATATTCCAAAAGCTGCATCAAGCAGTGTTCAGGCGGTCTATACCTTTAGGTATTTTAACATTTCATAAACAGTAATTTTATAAAAAATGAACTTATCAATGATATATCCTTGGACAGTGGTGTAACATTAAGTTTACTTGTTGAAAAGGATTTGGCGTAACAAGCAATAGTCGGTACATAATAAGTTTGTTCATATCATTTTAACAAAGTTAAAGTAACATACGGTGTTGTATAACATTATTTCTGCATTCTAGTCAGAGGTTATTTGGAAAGCCAACTGTACTTTTTATAAATGTATAACACGGGATATCTTGAAAGAAAAGAAAAAAAAAACCCAAGTTACTGTTTGGTTGTCAAATATCGATTTCTGTGGTAATTGAAGTACACAGTCTACCTTGTTATCAACCCAATATCCAAAAAGCATGGTTTACCCTATTTGTACAGTGTAATACCTAAGTTCTTAACTTCATTTTCCGAAAGTTGTACATGTTTTAATTAATACTTAAGTTGGAAATGCCATGTAGGTATCACATTTTTTTTTTCAAAATCACTGAACATAATAACAGTACAAAGATATTTTAAAATCAATGATATAGCCGATTTTTGTCATTCCATATTGATAAGGACTGTTAGTAGTTTGTACATTTTATAAGTATGTTTACCAAACCCCAAAGTATTGGTCATAAATCATCGGCCAAAGAACTTAGATTACTTTGTTTACATATATAAATATAGAAAAGTGTGTTGTGTTGAACAAAGGAGTATTGTCACATTGTCCTAGAATGGGTACTCAAATCACAATTTGTAATATCACATCTTGAATATGCATATGGCTTATACGAGGGTGTTAATTTAATCTATCACATAGCTGAGCGGGTGACAATTTTTTTGAATGTTACCCTCTCGTGCAGAGCCTCAACTGGTTTCTTCAATTGGTAACCAGATTTTATAACTGTCACATGTGCGCTTGAAAGTAACGAAGATAAGCAAATACCTGTAAGATCCTAAATGACACCGATTTTAAACAAAAACAACAGGCGACATGTTTGCTGAAGTTTCAGAGGATGATAAATCTGATTTACTGGAGTTAAAAGACTCAAAGTCAACAAAAAGATGCATAGCACACAGTTAAAAGAGTTTCCGTGGTTTCCTCGGCGAAGACAATGAATTTGAAACATTTGCTAAACCAAAATTGAGTGAAAAATTGAGACTGTTTTTTGCTTCGTTACGAAAAACTGACGGGAATCACTTGAAAAAGTCTACCCTCACTAATTATAGGTACGGATTGTCAAAATATTTGAAAGAACATTGTTCCATAGATATTACAAAGGATGTTCAATTCACCGGTTCACATGATGTGTTCAAGGCAGTCGTCGTTAACTTAAAGAAAAAAGGGTATGCCTCTCCTGACCACAAACCCCCTATTTCTAATGAGGACCTACAGAAGCTGTATAACACTAATAGTATTGCAATCAACACAATCACACCTTATGGTTTACAGAAAAAGGTATGGTTTGACATAATGTTCTATATATGCAGGAGAGGCCAAGAAAACTTGAGATCTATGACAAAAAAAACATTTGCTATTAAAACAGATTCTAGTGGAAGAGAGTATGTGTATCAACAAATAGATGAATATGATGAAAATCATCGTGATGAAGCTACCCCTGATGATACCATCGGTGAAGCAAGGATGTACGCAAGAGTAGGTGATCCTCTGTGTCCAGTATTATCATTTAAATTGTATCTCGAAAAATTTCACCCGACTCTCAATGATTTATGGCAGCGCACAAAGGATTCCTTTGATATAAGTGACACAACATGGTATTGTAAAGCTCCTATAGGGAAAAACAGTTTAGCAGTAATGATGCCTGAAATTTCCGAGAAGGCTAAACTTTCTAGAAGGTACACGAATCACTCTATACGTGCAACATCCATTACTGCAATGGATGAAGCAGGCATAGAAGCTAGACACATGATGAGAGCCAGTGGACATCGGAGTGAAGCCTCTATCCGTAGTTATTCTAAGAGACTAAGCAAAAACAAGCAACGTGAGATGTCTGACAGTTTAAATAATATGCTTCAAAGTGACAATATTAATCATGAACTTCAGTCTGAAGGTGATCACAATATAACTGAGACTACACCTGATGCACAGCCATTACTTGGGCTCAGTGCAGCTGAAATAGAAGCTTTATTTTCATACGAAAACACATTGGAAGAAATTCCTGTCATGCCTATGGATGGATATTACGGTTGCGCCGCAAAATGTTTGTGTTCCTGATAACCAAAACAAGGAAAAGTTACCTCATCCAGCTGTTTCTTCAAATTTTCAGCTGTCCATGAACAATGTCCAGCCATAGTGGAACACTCACACAATGAATTTATGTCCGAATATTACTAACAGTGTGGTCAATTTCAACATTCACAAATGATTTTCAAAATTGAATTGTTTCACCAACTAAACACTAACTGTTAAATTTTATTCTTTGTTGAATTTTATTCTGACAGACAGACAAATTTAATTCTATGTTGAATTGTTTCATATATAGTTATATACAAAATGTATGTGACCTTTGTTTTTTCTCTTGTTAAAGAATTGATGAAAAATATTTCTGTTTTCTTGTTGTATTTTCACCATTTCATATGAAATATGTATCAAATTTGAAAAAACATGTCGGGTAGATGTGAACATGAGACAATATCTTTATTTCCGTTATCTTATAATACAGAAATGCCAATGAAAGTTAGTAATTATCAAAGTATATCATGATATAATTCATATAAAGTTGCAATATTTTTCCAACTAAAAAAAACAGAACATTCAGTATAATAAATTAAATAACACATAGCTGAGAGGGTGATAGACAGATTGTTACCCCTTGAAAAACATTGTCAACCTCGGCTTCACCTCAGTTGACAATGTTTTCTCGGGGGAACAATCTGCTCTATCACCCTCTCAGCTATGTGTTATTTATATATTGTTGTCTGCAGTCCGTTTTCACGAGTTGACAGCTTCAAAAGTATGATATTTGATAGTCCTTAGCCAAATTGCCTGTTTGTTTTTTGCAAGGTGTATTTCCTTCTCACAAACATTGGTCACAACCTTCGACCAAAATACAATTGCTACAAAACGATACTGATCCTAACAAAAATGTATGGTGGTCTTTGTGTGCGGCCAATGTCCTATGTGAAGCAAAAAATACTAAAATCTAAAATAATTGGTCAAAATTAAGATTTGTTCTACCTAATATATCACAACTATGACGTTATAATGACATCGACATCGTTTAATGCGTCCTTATTAGTTGAATATTTATTTACCACATATTTGTAAAAAAATATTTCATCAAAGGTTTATTTTATCTTCTTTTGAAGTAAATATTTTTTCTTCTTTTAAAGTAAAATTTCGTTGAATTTTAAAGTTGTAATATTGCAGTTTGAAAAAAATCCTGAGCAATATATTGAAAATAGGGATCTATAAAAGTTTTTAATCCAAACCAATGTATCAAATGGTTGATATTATTTAGGTCTTGACAATATGGTCAATATGTTGCCTTGTCATTTCATTACTTTTTGCCTTCTGTTTTAGCGTTTGTGTCAGATTATATTTGGTTTGTCTTGAATTTCTTAAAATGACAAAAAAAGAGCTTATCAAATAAACAGACAATGAACTTCTCCATATTAGATGTATTCAGCATGTCTAATAACTGCAACCCCGTTTGTAAAATGTGAACGCATAGTTTTTGATTGAGGTATCATTCCATAATATAATCCTACATTTCAATTTTTAAAGTCCAATGTTTTTAAGATACTCTTTCTTTTAACAGATTTTAACTTGCCTTCTCCAACTGGTAAAACATATCGTGTATTTCTGCAGACGATGGAAAAACGTAATGTCCTATCCCCAGTCTTCTAACTGCTCCATTCTGTTTCGTGTGTGTATTTTATTTTCGAAGACCAAGTGATATATACCTAGCCTTGTGGTTTTGTCTATGCAATTTGAATATTGTTGACTGTAAGATTCATCATGCATATATACATGTTCTGTAGGTATGTTCCAAGCTAACTCTGCAAGAGGTTTTGTTTGAGTTGAGGGGTATTTTATGATCACATTTAACTAATTTTATAAAAGAAAATGATGATGTTAAAATATACAGTTTTAGGAAATTATCTATGTTGACAGCAGCATGGTACGATAATAGGTTGTATGTTATATTTGTATAAACCTTCTCTCTCTTATTCAAAAGAGTTTCTTAAATAAGACATTACTAACTAGAATTAATTTAGGGTTTTGAAGGAAATAAGTTGAATTACTGTGTTTGAATTATTTCTTGCATATATCTTTATTTATATAAACTTTTCTTGATGAATAATATTTCAATACTTTTTCTTGATGAATAATATTTCAATACTTTTTCAAAACCTATTTATTATTACATATTTTTTTCTAGAGATTATTGATGTGTAACCTGGGCCAATTAACTCATAAATTGACTAAAGTCCTTCTGATTAAGTGACCCATTTTACATGTCATTGATCCGTCAAGAAACGTGTTTATTTTTCATAATTCTTAATCCAAACATTTACAATTATATATAAACAATCTGCCATTTACAATTAAATGCATACCTGACGTGTCATAACTCAGGAGTCAGTCACAAAATTAATGGTAGAATCAAAACTCTGATTATTGTAAGCAAGGGCGTTTGATAACTAAATCGTTTATGAATTGGTTAGACTTTTTTTGTAGCAACTCTGTAGATAGTCAAGGCTTACAAAGCTGATTGAAAGTTATTTTATTCAGATCTGTCCCAAAACTTTTAAAAAGAGCGGGTCCGAATTGTTACAATAGAATTGAAAACATTTTACAGTCACCACTGTTTACCTGCTCATGATGGACGGTATATGGTCCCAGTAATGGGAACGTTGAGCATTACTATAATTAATGTCTTTTGTATTGTACGTTCATAAATGTTTCATTGCTATTGCTACATATTTCTATAAATAATTAAACGAATCTTAGTTCAACCAATATAAAAATGTATCACAGTTGATATGCCAATTTCTGATGTAAATCGATGATTTATGTAAATATTAAAAATCAGGGATGATATTTTATTGTCTGTTTTGGTGTATTCATTACATTCCAGTATAGTTGTGCATTTTTAATGAACAAACATTTCTACGGTCTGTAAGTAGATATTTAAAACCATAACAGATATAAGTTCTTTCTTTTTCCTTGTGTTCTTGGTTTCTATCAGCAATCATAGTAACACTTCTTTAACAAGTTTCTACTTCATCCCTCTTTGTCAGTATTCATTACGTTATATTTGTTTGGATTATTATATCTTTAATAGCTTACTGAAATTAAGAGGAACACAAACATCCATCGACTTTTGACAATACTAATCCTTTATATGATACATTGAAATTTATTTTGATATGTTTATGATATGATTTTCAGTCGCTATAAAGTGTTGAACTACATATTTAGGCTTAAAGTGGATATGCTTTAAGTGCATTGCATACATAGTGGTGACGCTAATCTGTCGGAACAATCGGTGTTTTTTCTTTTGGAATTAATTCGATTGCTTTTGGGATTTTGATGTACGCTAACATGTATCTTTTTAATGTATTATGAAGTAAAATAACAAAAATTCAAAACGGAAAGTCAATGACAAAATGAAAGCAAAACTCAAACACATCAAACGAAGGGAAAACAACTATCATATTCCTGACTTGGTACAGGCATTTCCTGGCGAAAAGGAGACTTTAGCATCATCAAGTACAATAAAAGTATGAAAACATGGACTTTCCGTACGATAAGTTTGGGCAGCGGTACATCTTTCAAACCTTGTGGTTTTTTTTCCTTTTGCACTAATTAAAAATATTAAGTCGATAATATAAGTTAATAAAATATTCTCTGTCATATAAAAAAAAGGATCACTACAAAGTATGTATGACTAACAAATCAATGTTTTCATACATTGAAACACCATATTAAAGGAAGTTGAAGGTAAATCATGAAAAGCGTGTTGGATACATGAAATTTATAACGTGTTGTTTTCAGTTTAACAGCAGTGGGTCGAATACCTCTGTTAATCGAAACTATTATCAACTCTGTACTTAGTATTTTGGTCATGAAATGTCTTGTGAGAAACCGTTCTAAAATTGTCCGTTCATAAATTTTGAAATTATTATGAAACTAAGGTTTCAAAACCCTCAGGGAAAGTTGACCTTAAATTGATTTGATTATTTTCTTACCCTTTGTGTTCATTTAACTACTCAACTTGTTCGGTTCTAATACGTCATTGGCTTTCTATTATTCAATTTGAGGGTCACAGATGATAGCAAATCAAGAAAAGCTCTTCGGACGCATGAAATTTATAACTCGTTGTTTGCCATTTTTTGTCCTGACTTAATGTGATAACTAAATTCATATCACATCCTATATTTATATATGAAAGACTAGAATCATATTAGACTCGGATGTAACGTGTCCACATAAATGTAGGAATTATGTTAAGGCTAGGGCAACTTAATCTAATACAATAATCAACATGATAGCTAATAAATTATTATGAAATTGCATTTCTGATTTTTGCACCGTCTAATGGTGTTTATATATCCCAACTCGTTCGCTATGCTCGTGTCCGTAGTGACGTTTTGGATTTCAGTGAGCTAAATCTATGAATTACCCATTGAAACAACATTTGATACAAAAAACTAATAACCCTTTTAGATATTTGGATGGTATATTGGCTCTTAATAATGACTTCTTCAGTATGTACACTTACAAACCTGCTCGTGCATTTTTCATTGTTATTCAACGCAACAAAATTATCTAAGATACCTGGGACGATCTCATTTCACAAAGGATTTCAATTGTCTACTTATTGTACCTCGAACTTATTTACCCGGTGTAGGTCGTTAAGTTGAGGTTCAATTTACTAAAAGTTAATCGGGCATGACTAATTAGATACGCCCCCTTAAAATCAGGGGGTCCGAAATAGGATCGGGAAAACACCCAGCAAAATACCATTATTTACAATTTTAGAATTTTTTTGATTCAACGTGCTTTTGGTTGTTTTAATATCTCCGGTCAATAATCAAACGGTGTTTTAGTGGAAATACTAACCTGTCTCGAACCGGGAGATGTTGGCTGCAATAGGAATTAATTTACAAAAAAAGTTCATATATCTCATTTACTTATAGTGGCCGTTATTGATTGTAAATTCATGACGTTTTGCTTTTGACATTCGTCTACCGTGGAAGAAAAAGGGAAGGAGAGCTAATAGCTTAACTTACGACTTCGACCATGGTTCAACTGTATTATACTACGGCATACCTTTAACCTCAATCGAACGCTCTGCCTTATTGTAAAAAATGCCACTCTAAAATTGTAATCATTTGCTTCAGGTTGATCCACTCGTCGTGGATATGCATGACATAT